ATCGCAGAGGATGCCTCGGTCCTGACTCCCAGCCATTGGCACGCTGGCCTGTGTTAGATAAGTACTTGGTTGGGTTTCTCAGGATGCACAGCGACTCCCTGTCACAGCTCGTGTGAAGCCTTGCCTCAGGCAAGACAAGAAGACCGTGGTGTCCAAAGCGGAGCGCATCCAGCTTGCCGAGGTCCACACGGCCGTGCAGGCTCCTCACCCTTGAATCATGCAAGCTATATTGTCATTGTTCAGCGAGTGCGAAGTCTCGTGATAATCTCGGCGAGACTCTGTTCTGTAGACTGCCAGTTTGGAGTTTGAAGAGCCGTCTCCTTCCACTCCAATCGCTCCTTGCCTGCCATGACGACTACTACCCGTGTTCCTGCCAGGTTGTCGAGGAAGAGGCGACTCTACTGACCTGGAACGAGACCGAGGCTCGGGCCCAGCTTTTGCACACAGCGGGTCTCAGAGTCCTAAATCATGTAAGTTATGACAGTCATAGTCATATCCCTGATGCGGTCAATAAATGTGATAATAATACGCGCGCTAGTGATAGCTTTGAAAAGTTTGTAGGTTCTGGAGGCGTGTGCAAACCAAGTAGAATTTTCAAAGGAAGGCATGAACTTTAATGCAGGCGTGCGAAGAGAACGAACAGTGTGTAAGTATGGCATGAGGGGATGTGCAGCTGTACGACTCGACCCTGTATGCATGTGTATGTGTTGGTTTGTTGCTCAGCAGCGTTTTGTCAAAGAGCTCTGAGCAGTGGAATAGGGGTTGTCTACTGGGCAAAATGGTGTTCGAGTGATGAAGCATTTCGAGGTCCTCGCTGCCTACGACACCCCGGAGCGAAAGTCATTCAATGGATGCTCGTTTGCCTTGTGACCGACTTTGGTGCTCGGAACTAGGTAGGGTCGATTAGATTGCTCCCAGAATTGAACACTGGAGACGCAGGGAGCTTATCATCATCAGAGGGTTAGTGCGTGTTAGCTCCGCTAGGCTTCGCTGGTGTCCCTGGGCTGAAGTTTGTCGGGTTCTCTCATCTGGGGCCGAAGACGTCTGTCTGGCTCGAAATCTTCGGAGATGCTGTTCAGACCTAAGCCTAGCAGGCCTAGCACTGTGGCGATTCTTCGGCTTCCAAAGGTCTGCGTCTCTTCGCCCAGCTTGGTCTCCTGGCAGCTCTGCTCCGTGCAGCTCTTGGGGCTGTATCGCTCCTTCCTGGAGGCCCGCCCCGAGTCGCAGCCAAGAGCGGAGAGCGGAGAGCAGCGGGGCCATAAACCGGGCCGCAGCAAAAGTCTACAACAGAAAGGCCAAGGCCAAGGCTGGCTTTACTGCATGGGGATCAATGCCGTTGGAAGCAGTTCAGCAGGTCGGTTCAGGCTGGGCCGATCCACGTGGACGCCAACTTAGCTGGAAGAAGCTAGATCGAGATCCTCTTTCCGTTTCTTTCCCAACGAACCAACCTGGTTGCAAAAGAGCGACGCAACAAGAGGATTTTTCTGCGACGCAGCAAGGGTGAATCCAAGAAAAGAGGGAAATTGCCTCAAGGCTCGCACTCGCCCTGAACCCAGGAGAAAGAAGGAGAGAGTGTGAGTGAGCACGGTTGTTGATGGTCTTGCAGTCTGTGCACCAGGCAAATGGCTTAATGATTGAAATTTACGGACCGAGTCAGTTTTGGAAGGCTCCAGGTGCTTGTAGCTTGCAAACTCTCGCTTCCATGGTTCACGCTTTCTGCTTTGTACTGGGCAAGCGGATAGCAACATCTATAATCTATAAACGCCTTTCAAGCAGAACCTCACTCTGAGAAGGGAGCTGGGGCCAATCCAACATCTTGCAGCTGAACCTAACGTAGATGGACGTGCAGGTAAAAGGATTTCAGTTCTGTGTCAGAGACTTCTCAGTCAGCCTGTTTTGGAACCTGTAGCCCCAAGCCCGAAGCCCTGGCGGAAAGGCTGTGGCAAATGCAAGTCAGCAGAGCTTCCATTCTGAGTCAGCCCTTGCAAAGACCTGACCGGAAAAGCGTGCGTGAAAGGAAAAAGCAAAATGCCCATCATGGTGTTGCTTGAGAGATTCTCAGTGAGAGCTTAGGGCCAAGTAGGAGAAGTGCGAAGCAGGGCTTTGGGGCAGGGCAGCATGTGCCGCACCTGGCTTGGGTTCAAAGCGCTCATCTGCCTTTGCAAGAAACACCGGGAGTCTTCCGAGACTTCTGCAAGCTCTACTCCTTACATAAAATTGGTCGAGATGGCCACGCAGCCGCAAGCATTGATTGAGAAGATGCATCGGCATGCAATGCAGATCAGACTCACCTCTCCCCATCTTGCGCAGCTGAGGCGACAGTCATTTTGATGCTTTTGGCCGCTTGCGGGGCTACTGCTTCGTCGCCAGCAAGCATTCGTGGTAGCCACATGTTGGCAGTGGAAGAGGTTCAGCAGTCTCTGCAGGAGTCCATGCAGGAGGTGCTGCGGGGCGGGTCGTGGTCGAAGCTCGAGAAGATCGAGAAGAGCATCTGGCAGACCTACCAGTCGCTGCCGAAGAACGAGTTCGGCCATATTGGCCCTCGCGCAGTGCGATATCTGGTGCACAACTACTTCGCCAAGGAACATGGGTGGCTCATCAAGGGATTAGAGCCGCACGGCCACCAGGCCGACATGTCACAGGTCCACGAGGTCAACATTCTGCAGGACAAGGCCCCAGCGCTCGTGGAGTCCTTGTTGGAGGCCCAGAGAAAGGGCCGTGGCCTCGACCTCGCCGACGCCGTGGCCATGTTGGCCACCCTGGAGCGCCTCATCTTCGACGAGGCCGTGATCCTGCTCCAGGCTGCATACCGGCTCAACTCCATCGCCCCAGTAGAGCAATTGGATGAGCGAGCTATGCATGAAGTCTTAAGTTCTTATCTGGTCCTGTTCGAGATGGGTCAGAAAGCGGATCTGAACAACACAGACCTCCATCGAGCTCTCAAGGCACGTGCCGCCGAAGTGTCCAGCAACTGGCCACTTCTGGTAGAATTTGAGCAGGATTCGCTCCACAACTATCTCTATGCGAACAAGGATACAAGGAATCCCTTTGTTAGGGAGGAACTGTTTAATTTCGAAGATGCCGTGACCATTGTCGAGGGCATGGCTCATGGGTACGGCAAGTGGCAAAACACAGAGTGCCAGCAGATGAAGCATGAGCTCATGGACTTAGACAGCGAAGGCAATGGCCTGGTGCCCTTGGGTC